CAGCAGGACAAGATGTGCCTTTTTTTTAGTGATTTTTCTCATATTTCTGCTGTTTGTGAAAGGAGAAGTTGTGTCACAAATAATGTCCTTTCAAGGTGGTAACTGTCAGGCATGGTGGTAACACTGGATAATCTCCTGAGAACAGTTGTTACTTGCAGCTTCTGAGGGCCAGTGCATCTTTTATTTTAGACTTAACAAAATGTGCATGATGATTTGAAGTAGAACAAAGTGCTGAATGGGGTCTTCAATGCCATGAAAGCATGGATTGTTGTTGTTGGAATCTTTTCGTAGATTCCAAACTAGTTTCAAGAAGCTTGATGCACAGCCCACACTCAGGGCTGTGATTGGAATGTAGACATCCCTCAATCTCTAACAAGACTAGTATATTCATTTATATCCATATAAACAAAACCAAACGATGTTATAACTCCTATGTGCCTTGAAAGCATTCCTCATGGCTGTACATAATTGCAGCTGCTTTTGGAGGGCAGAAGGTTCAGAATTGAAGGGATACTCAGAAACAAGCTAGTCAGATCAGAAGTGGATTTCAGAAGTTTGATTTCAGTCGAAATCAGGGGGTTTTTATTTCAGTCCAGCCAGAATTACTGCAGTTTTATTCTAGTAATAACTTTGTCTCCTTTTGTGGCTTTGAATAAACAATCAATGTCCAAACTGGGGATTGGTTACTATGTTGTCTAATGAGAGAGCATTAGAAAAGGATGCATCTGTATATTAATGCTTCAGAAGATAGAAGGACTGCAGAATATTGGATAATACATCCTATTATCCTGGGCTTATTCACTTATCCTTTCTATCATCAGAAAAGGCTCCTGTTGAGACATCTGCAATAACATCTGAAGAGGCAGAGATTAAAGGTGAAGAAAGCACAGAAGATACTCAGGTAATTCTCCATAGTCAGCTGAGACCTATCCATTTTATTTTTAATATGAGATTTGAAATTCCTTTATTATAAAATGAGTTTGCTGAGAAGCTTCTGTGATTGATTCTTTTATGCCTGAGAAGTCTCTGCTGTAGGTGAGATCCTGCAGATTAAACTGAACTGTTGGGGTCCTCCTGCTGTGTTTTTAGTTTGGAGAAGCTATGCAGGGGGATGACAGGTCCCTACACACCAGGTCTGTCTTTATCCAGATATTATATCAATACACAGTGTAATTTGCTGGGATCTGGAATCTTCCTGGACAGTATGTCCATTCCTGAAAGGGAAATGGATGAAAAACAAATTGTGGAGAGGTGAAAGCAGCAGGCATAACTACCTGAAATAAGCACTGGCCTGATTTAAAGGCAGTTGGCTGATCAGGGAGGGAGTGTCCCGTGAGAAGTTTGTTCTTATCCACACAATGTCAGGCCCTGGAATCAAATTCAGACTAGTTTCAGATAAAGCTGACTGTCTAGCAAGGAAATTAAAACACAGGGTAGTGGGACTCTAACAGAGTCTTCTCTGTTAAAAGTCTTCTCTGATAAAATGATCCCCTCATCCATTTTATCAAAGGCAGACATGCTATATTATCCCACTCATGTCAGGCTCTGTTTCTGGTTTTCCGTACTCCTGTTTAGTTACTGTTCCAGATTTCCCTTGTTCTGATAGCTGGAAGTCTCCTAATTTCTGTCTTAAATATTGAATCTTCAATTACAATCTGCTTCACTAGACAGCAGAAATCCAACAGTCTAAGAAGAAATGCTTCTGAAGAAGGAAAGAGATGTCTGTTTCTTTCAGGGTGGACTCACTGCTCTGTTTTATTGCAGCCTGCAGGAGAGGAAGAGGCAGAGCGGTCAGGAACAGCAGAAGTAGCTGATGCAGCAGAGGCGGAAGAGCCTCCTCCTCCAAGTGTGAAGGAGCAGAAGCTTGCAAACCAGTTCAACTTCATTGAGAGAGCTTCAAGGACACTCAACAACCCTATGCGGGTATGCTGCTTCAGTGACTTGGAGGATCTTTCCTTTGGGAGGGCATATGGATCATCTGTGTTTATGTCATATCCTATGATCTCTGTAGATAATATTAGGAGATAAAAACAGTGTTTTACTATGGTAACACATTTGGGGTAATGAAAATGGTGACAGAAAAATTCTTGCCTCATGGAGTCTTGGACAGCCTACAAGAAATTTTGGTGCTACTGTAAATCCTTAAACCTCTACTTGTATATAACGTTTTTCGTGTTTATTTTCTCATCTGAAAAAGCATAGAGCAATGGTTAGGGTAGTAGTTGAAGGCTTGGAATCCATTAATTGAATTTCCTTTTGCCACAGAGTCCCTTTATGGCCCTGTACTTCGATTCTTACCCATGGAACAGGGATATAAGTGCCCCTATGTTAAAAGGGTAAAGGTACTAATGCTTATGTTAAGCATAGGTACTAGAGTAACAGACCTGTGTAAGTATGACACATCTTTACTGCTGCTACATGATACATCTCCCTCCCACTCTGTGCATGCACCTTCCAATCAGTAGAGACCCAAGACCTTATGTTCCTTCCCTAAGCTTTTTGCTGAGCCTGCAGCCATTCCCAGTGAGTATGTCTTCACAGGGCCTCTTGACCAAGCAGTACCAGTGATGTTGGCCTCCAGCTGAGTGCTCAAAAAGGAGCTTTGTGAATCAGTGACACAAGTTTCAGAAAGAAAATTGTCTTGTTTTCCTTGATGCCCTGGAATATGGCTTCCCCAGAAAGCCTGCCTGCCTTCTTGCAGCCATTACACCTAAAGTGAGATCCCTTTACATCTGATGGACCTGGAGAGATCTAAGAGTTACCATGTTGCTGGAGCTACTATCTCCTATCTCTCTCTGCCCACTAGAAGAGATGGAGGATCTCAGGAGAGTTTGTTCAACAGTGCTTACTGCAAAGTCTGAGCTAAGGTTCTGCAACTTTCACAAATCCCTGTGGAGGCCACAAAGTTTGTTATTTCTCTGTCCCTAGATTTGCATATTCTCTTCCCATTGATTTTACTGGGAGAGGCTTGTATGCCTCTGTGTGATTCTGCCTTTGAAAGCAGAATATAGACCTTAAATAGCTGTGAAGTACTCTTGTGTGTTGTACAGGATGTGCAGTTTCCACCTCTGAGACTGCTTCATTTCGGAGGTCAGTGAAATGCTACAGGCAGCTTCTTAAAAATGTCCTGACACAACAGTTTTTTGAAAGAAAATGCTGTTCCATGAAATGAAATTTCACATAAATATAGTCATTTATTTCAGAAAGTTGATGTAAGGGTGTTAAAAATATTATTTGAGTAACATCAAATGAATTGTTTATAGGTTATCATTCAGTTCAACTCTTTTGTTTTGACTGCTGTACCCGAGTGGGTTTTTAATATACAGGTCAAAACATTTCAAATTTGGTAGGACATCATAACTGATACTGTAACCAGTAGCAGAATGTTTCAAATGGTAGAGGTGAAACAAACCATTTCAACTCCTTCATAATCAAGTACTGAAATTAAATATTGTAAGTATTGGAAAAAAGTTAGGTCTTGTGAACCTTCTTTTGGTCCACAAGAAAATCTATTTGTAGCTGCATGATCACCAATAGTGTATGTGCGGTGCGCTGGGAGTCATTTGAGTGTTGAATTAATCGTAAGTCAATATTATTCTAACTACTTGCTATGAGAAGTCTGGACTATGTCACTGCAAAGAGTTTCAGTGCAAAGATTAAATTTCGTTATGCTTTTTCTTTTTTCAGGAAAGAGCATGTCAGTCGGAGCCTACACCTTGTAAGAATTTCTCAGCCACTGCTAACCAGGTATTTCCTTTTCACTTTTAAAGTTTTATAGAGTATATTTAGGAAACTGAGATATGAGAAAGGAAAAACCAAGTTGCTATGTTTGCATTCCTTGCAGTGAAATAAACTCCCACACTGTGGCTTTGGTCCCAGAGTCCCAGAATGGTAGGGGCTGGAAGGGACCTATGGAGATCATCTAGTCTAACCCCCCTCCTAGAGCAGGATAACTTAGAGCAGGTTGCACAGGATGGCGTCCAGGTGGGTTTTGAATCTCTCCAGAGAAGGAGACTCCACAACCTCTCTGGGCAGCCTGTCCCAGGGCTCTGTCACCCTCAGAGTGAAGAAGTTTTTCTTTATGTTCAGATGGAACTTCCCATGTTCCAGTTTGTGCCCATTGCCCCTTGTCCTGTCACTGGGCACCACTGAGAAGAGTCTGGCTCCATCCTCTTGACATCCGCCCTTTAGATATTGATAAGTATATCTGGTTTAAATCTGAGAGCAAACTAGCGTGGCCCTCTTTTCTGCTAATGGTTTATATTTCTAAGGTCAAGTGTCTCTGTTTAGCTGCTTTGAATTGATCTACTGCTTGCCAGCCACCCCGGCCAGTCTGCTTTAGAGAGTCTTAAACTAGTGAAAATGGGGAAACCACAGTCTGAGAGTGGTTCTGGACTCAGCAAGAGGTGCGCTGCAGCTGAGCTCTGCAGGAACAGGGACACAACTGCAACTGCCTCTTGCAGGCACTGACTTCTCCAGGGAGCCGGCTGTCTTCCATCACTGTGTAGTGGGTGAGCTGGTGATTTAGGAGGAGCTATGATCCAGCATTCAATACCTGGTCAGCTGCAGGACACCTCTATCAGCTGATGCCATTAGAGGCAGGTTCAACAGGCTCTTAAAATACAGGAACAAAATAATGCAAAAGCACTTAGGACATGTCTGTATGCTAGTTCCACTTTGAGCACTGATTTTAGAGCCTGGAGATTTCTGAAGGTCTGGGACTTTACAAGGGTTCATGGAGTTTTTGGGAGTGTTGTTAAGAATTTGATATATGCAACATTGTTTGTTTTACTTTGTCTAAGTTTAGCTGTATACAAAAGCAGTTTCTAAAGCTGAACCCAATGAGAACTACAGCATAATGTAGAAGGCCCACTTTAAGCCTGTTGCAGTAGACTTAGCTCTGGTTTATATAGTGGGAATGTTCCTGCTTATTCATGATGAAAAACTGTTCCACAATTGTTACACGGTATTTTCTCCATCTCTTAAAAATATTTTAAAAAAATATTTTGCATAACATTTTATACATGAAATATGCTATAGCTTTCATTGGAAAGGGAATCCAGCCAATTCTGCTGATTAATTCTCAGAGATATTTATAACATATATTTGTGTTTGTCATTGATGCAAATATTGTTTTGAACCAGTGTACCAATCTGGTATTGAAAACACTGTTCCATTACCAGTGTACCACAGAAACACCCAGAAGAAAGTATAAGGTAATGGCAGCAATTTGAAAAATGCTGTTGTAGGAAAGTGGTAGTAAGGGGAGCAGAAGAGTGTCTGTCAAGCTGAAAACTGTAACCCAGTTTATTCCTGAACTTGAAGTTATAGAGTAAATGGCCTGAGATCTTTCCTCCCTCCAGCTGGACTTTCCTTTTTTTCTGACAATGAGATGAGCTGATATTTAGAGAGAATAGATCTATTTAAGATAATCAATCTGTTTCTAAAATTTCACATGAAATTTTTGAAAACTAAGAGGAAAAGTTTTCCCTTGTTTTCTTTTTATTCTATTGAAAATTTGAGTGGATATGAAATAATATGTTAACATAAGCTCATAATTTCCTCTTCCAATGTTTTCTGTTCTGCTCCTTCTCCTGCTCTTCTCATCACATCTTCTTTGTCCTTTCCCTGATGTTTGGAACATCTTTCCACCTCATTTCTGCCTGAAATTTGCAACACAATGCAGGTTTGTTTGCTAAAGGTTTACACTGCCTTTCTTTATTGCAGTGATCTACTCTATATTTTGTGTTTGAGTCATACTTCCTCTCTTAAGCTGATGTGTCAGAATTAGATTTTTTTTTTTTGCCTTTTGTTTTGTCCTGAAAGTAGTGTACCTGCTTCAGATACAGTACTAGCACTCCAATACTAATGAATAGTTCTTAAGTAGGAAAATTACTTTTGGTTCTACCCAATAGTAGACATTCCTGGCATGTGGCATAGCAGAAGATGTAAAACTGCTCTCAGTTTCCGTTTCATCATATGTTGCAGAGTTGGAGTCCAACATTTAAATTGTGTTAAGCATCTACAATTTAATTTTCCAACACCACATGAGAAATGTCATAAAGCAGATGTGTAATGCATGTTTCCTATTAAACACTGTTAAATTAGCCAAACAGAAAGTCCTACAGAAATGAGACGGAATCAAAGCATCAAGAAGATTGTTGGGAAAGGAAATTGTTAAGAATGCAATAATGTGTTCTTAAAAAGTAAGACATGCCCCATCAAGCTTTAAAAATCATGGGTTTCAATCCTTCACTTTTTGTGCAGCAACCCAGCTGTCTTCAGCTGATTCCAGTGGCAGTGTAACTGTTGTGAGGGCTGTAATGTTTTGTGATGGTGTAGATGGCTGTTTTCTAGAGTATAATCAGGTACTGGTAAAATCCTGCCTCTTGTCTGTCTCTCAGTGGAAGATCTATGATGCCTATGTGGAGGAGCTTCAGAAAATGGAAAGGTCAAAAGAGAAAGAAAAACCAAAAGCTCAGATAGCAAAGAGAGAAGAGGAGGAGAAGAAGAAAGGAAGAAAGTTAACCTCTCTGGAGTCACAGGTATGTTTCATAATGCTGGAAGAAGCCTATTCAGAGTGGTGGTGGATGCATCCATAATGCAAGTTAGGTGAAATTTAGCAACTCATGCTTGCTAGTTGTCTCAATTGGAAAGTAACAAGCCTAAGAAATGTAAAAATTAGTTTTTGCTAGGAACTCTAGTTCCAAAACAGGATTTCCATTTTGCTGTACTTTTTATGGGAATATAAACCAGTGTAAAGCCATAATTGTGTCTTCAAACCTGATTTCAAGTGAGATTTATGGCTTTCTTTTTTGTGCATTATCATATTTGTGTCTCATTTGTGATTAGCATGTGAGGGATGAAATAATGAAATAAGTAGAGAAACACTGTGTGACTTCTCAAAGAATTCTAAGTGATGCAGAGGTTTTAGGTATAATCTTCCAATGTGAATGGCAAAGAAATTTAGGGTTCATTCAAAATGGTACAAAAGCACTGTAGAGAAATATATTTCATTATTTTTTATTATTTTATTGATAATGTTGTAGAATTATAATTTATATGTTTTCTATTTATATAGATATAAATAGTATATAATCATTTATATAGAAGTTAATAATAATTAATTG